GCGAGCTGCTGTGCTGAGCGAATCACCAGTCCTAGTTACGACAACCGAGAAGGAATCCAGCTCGAACATGCGCATGACCATGGTCTCCACCCACCGCTGCTTCGTCTCGCTGAAGTATTGCACCTGGCGGCAAACCGGGCTCCAAACTTCCCCTCGTAGGCCGTAGACTGCGCAATTGAATGATGTGCCTGATCTCCAGCTTTGAAGCTGCACGCTAGTGGAGGCGGTGGCACGTCCACCTGAGCCAGTGAGCCGCTGCAAACCTGCAGAGTTGCATCCGGGAAAACATGAAAAACAAGCGGGGCCCGGGGTCGGAACGCCGTGGGCCAGCACGGTGCCGAGCATAGGGCGAACGGCCTGCAGGCATCCTATAAGAATGCCAGGCTGATTTCTGCTCTTGTCCAGCCTTAGGTAGGGCAGGCACGGCATCGGCACCCTGCCAGGCCTCCACAAAAGCGCAGAAGACCACGCAGCAAGTTGAGGGAGGCCTTCTGTGCAGGCCTTTCGTACTCGATTCAGGGGCGCCCCAGGCTTCACGTCCAGGTCGCAGGCCTTGGCCTGTCGCAGACACCGTCTTCATCCCTCTGGCAGTCTAGCAGTGCCTTTCTCCCTTGCCTGCGGATGCAGCCGCTCCACCTCAACATCGCCAATGCGCGCGCTTCTCGAAAGGATCTCGCACACCCAACTCCAGATTGATCCTGCCTTTGCGGACATCCACCGATGTCCGGATGCGCTCCAATATTCTACGTGCTCGCCGACCTCAGCACGAAAAGCCGGCCAGGTCGTCAGCACGCCAGTACAGTACAGGAGGAAGAGGGAGGGTCAATGCAACCATTCAGCGTGAAGGGTGCTCGTGCCCTGACCATGCGAGTGCAGTGCCCCACCGCAAAAAGAGAACGAGGCATGCTCAAAATCACGAATCTTGAGTTTTGCAACAAAATCAATGTCGACTCACCTCTTCCCAACGTGTCCCCTCTCATCCTGTGATGAAATCGATACCTGGCTACTTTGCAGGCTGTGTCCGGCCCTGCCAAGGCTAAAGCTGCAAGATCAAAAGACAGCTCAAGCTTGGCTCGACTCTTTACAGGGCCCCGACCTTGTACTGGACCCCGGCACGGCGTAGCCGCTCAGCTGGGACCATCTTTTTGCAGTTCAAGTCGTAGGACTCAATGACTCCGTCCTTCCCAAAACGCAGAACTCGTAAGAGAGGGAGCCTACCCAGCATAGCCAGCTCCCGCCTTCAGATGGTGGCCTTCGACCTCAATCCATCAGGCCCGTGGACCGGTCGACTTAGTAGACTTGAGGCCTGCTGGCACCTCTTCAGCCAAGCTGCCACGGCATCTATCCATCGCTCCTTCGTCTCGCTAAAATATTGTACCTGCAACCAAGGAGATGACAAGCCAAAACATCTTGGACGGTGCTGTGGCGCACCTCCTCGCCATTTTCAAAATGATCTGCGGCCTTGTGACGCGGCTTGCCAGAGAGTGGGGTTGCAACCATGTCACCATCACCGGATCACAACATTCGGGCGGTGCTTTCAGGCTTGCTGCTCTGCTGAGACTTTTGAAATTCTGCCAGTGCACACGTGCCATAGCCTTGCCGTTGACAAAACGATCTCCAGCAGCCTTGCCGTGTGCAAGCACACTGTTGCATCTAACTAGCGCATGCAATTGCATGCAGTACCAGGCAGGCAAATACTAGGTCGTGAAAGCTTGGACACGCCTCAGGAATCGGAGTATCCGCGGCTGGTCTCAAGGAAGCCTTCCGGGAGTTTTGCTAAATGCTTCTGGGGGGTCCTTGCCTCAGGCAGAGGTTCCGATGTTATCCTTTGCCCGCGGGTGGAGCAGAAGGGAGATGGTCTTGCTGCCCGGCTGCTTGAATTTTGTCTGCCAAAGGCTTATGCGTGACTGTGTTCACGTTCATAATGGTTCTCAAAAAGCTGGTCTGGTGAGCAGCGGGCTGGTTTGCAGATTGTGGAGATTTGAGCTGTTCCTTGCACACGTTGCGCGCTGACTGGAATGGACTGCCTGCATGGGAAAACCGCAGCAGGTTCACGCCGTACGGTAAACACCCCTGCCTAACACCCCACCAATATTTCAATCAGCAACAATGCAAGGGCACATTAGATAGGATTAGGCATCCTTATGCCCCAACAGCCTCTGCTGCGTCTTCCCCCGCTGCTGTGGACGGCACCTTTGCACTCTCTCTCAGCCGTTCCCGAGCAAAGCGCCAGCAAGCAGGACATAGCAAGACAGCCATAAAAATGAAGATTTCGAGCTGCCTCCTGCACCGGGATTTCCGTGCTCAGCTTGCTGGAGGCCTAGGCATTCGTAAGCCAAAGGAGCCAATGTTGATATGTGATAAGCTGATAAGCCACTGATAAGCATGATCCTTGCTTACATGGCTGCCATGCAGGGCTGAGTCCCCTGCAGGGGCTGGCCTTGGCTGATCTCTCATCTAAGATTGCTCGTGCTCGTGTGTTCGTGCGCGCAGCTGTGGCTTGCACGCATCCTCGGCGGTAGTGGCGTCCTTCACTCTTGCAATCTCCGCCTGGTGTGCAAGACTCCTGTGAGTCTACAGCCCCTGCTGAACCGGATTGGCCTGCGCTCTCGCCGTGAGGTCGTAAGACTGCAACACGCCGTCGGCGTCGCGGTTGACTCTCTGAACGTGAGCCTCCACCTCACTCAAGATGAACAACAACTGCACAGCATCTGCACATGATCGCCATAGCCATGGCATCAGCAGCATCAGCAAAAGCCCAAGCCGTACACTCCGTACCATTTGAGGAGCAGGCCCACTTCTTGTGCGTCCCGCTCCAGTACCGGACCTTCTCGCCTACGGCGAAGACCCCTTAGTAGCAGAGATTGAACTGATGCTCACTACGAGATGTCCAAACAAAAAGGGCTCCTTATTCAAGATTCTTCGATCCCAGGAGCTGGGAGCTGGCTCTTTGGGCGGCGCTGTGGGAACCTAATTCGAACCCATGCTGGCATTCTACCCTGCAAAGTGCCAAGCGCTGTGCTTGGCCTCTAGGCCCTCCTCGATGGCTACGGAAGCATCGGCCTTTTCCTTTCAAACTCGACTGCACCTTCCCCCCCCCACCAGACCCCGCCCGCGGCTCCCGGCGGTCCTGGCGCTGCCGGAGCTCCTTGCGCCGGCGCCAGGGCGGCGGCTCCTGGGGCTGTGGGCGCTCCATCGCGCTAGAGTCGTCAACAGAAATTCGGCAGGATGCGCATTTCAAGGTTGTGCCTCCTCATTAACCGCAGCCTTCAAGGATGCGCAGTTGATCATACTGACCAATTTGAGAGCGGACTGTGTTTCCCCTTTTTGTTTGGGGATTCGCCTCAGCCGACCCAGATGTTGGGCGCCAGGGAGCTTGCGGGGCTGGTTCAGGCAGGGGCTTCCTGATCAGGCTAGTTGCAGGACGTGCAGGGCAATGAGGTTTCGCAATTTGCTCTTCAGGGTCGGCCTAGCCCATCCCATCATCCGTCTGCCAACCGATCGTCCAGTGTCTTCCAACCCAGCGAGGAGCGTCGAGGACATCCTTGCAGAGTGACAGGTGTTGTGGTCAGGAAAAGCTTCCTCTGGCTGCGGTCAGTCCTTGCCCATGCTAAGCGCCCTCCATGAGCCACAAGTTCAACTACACTAAACGGACTGAAAGCGCAGGAACACGCCTGGTAGCTGGGGTGAGTTGGCTATTTTAACTCACAGTTCAGGCTCACTTCTCCCATCTGCCCTTCTCATGGTTGGTTGACCTGCCTGCTTTACCAGAAATACAGAGTAAGTAATTCAGGCTAAGCAGGTGCTGTGATGTGTCGACGACCTTCCCTAAAAGTGCTGTTTGCCTGTCCACTGATTCAAGTCTTGAAGTGTCCTATGTGATGATTGTGGTGCTTAGCTGCTTGCAGCACTGTTTGCCGCGGAGGGATCGCATGTTGACAAACCTACAAGGCCCTCCTGCGCAGCAGAAGCAGCACACATGCAGATCTGTGGGGCAAGGAGCTCATTACAAACCACCCGAAGCATTCCGAGATGAGCTACTGACTTTGTCTCAGCAAACCTGGCAATCACGAATCTGGGTGGGCGAAGTTCTGGTCAGTTTTATGATTTCCTCCGAAGAGGAAGGCTTCACTTCTCGGGGCATGGGCAGCTCTACTCTGCCATCTAGATTTTATGAAGGTGCAAACAGCACGTCAGACTGAGGCGTGGAAGTGCATGATGGCTCACCCCGTTTGGACGCGGCTGACTTGGCTGAGACAGCTGAAGTTCTCAAGAGGAGACGCGAGACAGGACGCAAAGATAAATGTTCGGCCATATCCGATAGTCTGAACTCTTGGATTAAGATGCAAAGTCTCGGCACCTCTGAAGTGGTGTGCGGTGCCTCACTGCTTAGCAGTGGTCAGCCGGCCGGATTTTCCAGCGAACTAAACCTGGCACCACCCCGCTACCCGTCCACATAAAGCTGATCGATCTTATGGACAAACAGCCTCAAATATCGTAAATGCTTGGGATACATGGCTGTTCAGCCGAGAACTCTTTCACGAACATCCCGATCCAAGGCTGGTTCACTTCACCGCGGTGTTGACAGGACTCCTGCAAACAGATTGGAGCCAGCAACGCCCAAAGAAAGTCAGCTCAAAAGCTTGATCTGCTGGTTTGCAACGCCTGGCCGGGGTGTGAGCACGCTGCTCCCAGTCTGTCCTTAGGATAGTTATTGCAGGATATGTGGCCACAGGAAAGCCAAGCGAAGCGAAGCTTCGGCCACTTAGGCTCCGGGCTACAGGACCATCCACGTTCCGCTGCTCGCTCTGCTGCGTGGTACTTTCCCTTCACATCCTGGACAATTCCCCTTTCCCAAGCCCGCATGATGTCCTACTAAGGGTTTGGCAGTGTGCCTCCGCAAGGTAAGTGGTCTTCCGGCAGGTGTCTTTGACGCTGGCCATAAAAGCGCGCATCTGCCTGCACAGGTAACGAAATAGCAGGCAAACAAGGCTCCTCTCAAAGTTGCTTGCTGCGCTTGCTGCGGCCTTTTTGCTTCCTCAGTCTGCTCCCGGAGCTCGTCTCTCCTTGCCTGCTTCTCCTGAAGTTCGCACTCATGTGCCCCGTCACAGAACTGAACTGTGACTTCTATGCCGCTGCACAGATAATGGTGGGCACGCAAGCGGGACCTTGAGATCCTTCATGAACTTCTCATACTTCAGAGTGCAGGCCTGAAGGTCTCGTGACAACTGATAGACAGATAAGCACACTTCCGACTGTACAGCAATTTGAGTCCTTCAGCTCCTTCTCTTTGTCATCTAGTTCTTGTTGGGTTCGGATCAGATTGTGCATGGCATCCTGCGCAATGATTCGCCACCTACCCATAAACCCTACCCTAACCTACCCTAGCCACCCACCACCCTACCCTTCCCCGACCTGGCCTGACCACCCACCTTAACCTCCCCTACCCTAACCCATAACCTACCCTCCTAACCTACCCTAACCACCTACCACCCTGCTGGAGGATTCTGTAAATTGCCATACAAGTGCGTCGGGAATTTTTTCAAGGCCAATGAGGTATTGCACAGGGCTTCATAAGGCTACTGTGTTTCAGCAGCACACCTATGGCTCCGTAAGGAGTTGTGTAATTCAGCAGCCTATATGGCAAGACTATGCAGGGCTTTTTAATTCTAGGGGTATGATGGCATTATGTACATTGCAGTAGTTCTGCATGATGCCCGGCTTCAGCAACCCGTAACCGAATAAACCTCTGCTGCCACTCTGACGGCAGCTGCACTGTCTCTGAGACTGAACTGCGGGCCTTCGCTCGAGCCGGCCGAGGCGGCGCGCGGTAGCTGGAATGAATAGGCCAGATGTTTTTCTCCCTCCCTACCCTCTGCCTTGAAATTGAAAAATCATGACATGACTCGCCGTCCCCCCTCCTCCTCCCGCATTTGACTCTGGTGGGAAGAACGTTCCCTCATGTTTGCATATCCGGGGGGGTGGTCCTATCTCAACTTCCAGGTTTACTGTGATCTGCGCAGCTACTTTTTTGAGCACGCACCCACCACGAAAGACAGGTTCCTGCCACAACTTGGCTTTCCTGAGAATGAGTCTACTTCCTACACGTTCTCGCAATATTATCTAGGCTGAACACGCAGCCGCGCTAAGGGCATTGTGGCTTTTCCTAGGTTGTGGTACAGACCGTCAGACATACGCGTGGTTGTCGAAACGGGCTTCTGGTTGCAGCAGGGAGCACCCACAGCTGTCTTGCCCCCCACTTATGTCAACAACGCGCCTCTGTTAAGTTGCATCTTGGCATGGAGCCCACGCACCAGCCCGGGCTGTTCGCCCAGCTGGAAACCATCGCAACACTACAACACTACATGCAATCTGAAATAGATTTGATATGCAGAACCATTGGTACTTATGCTCCTCGTGAGTTTTTGCACGCTTCTCGCGCTCGGCTGTGAGCTCGCCAAATTTCCGGACCTAGACAAACTTTACACTTCTGGATTTCCAGGTCGTTTGCAGAAACCAAAAAACTCTTGAGCCCTCAGCAATGTTGTCCAGGTTCTTGGATGCCTGGTACCCAGCCCGGGCCTCCGCTGAATTTACATGTAAGCTGTGCTCTCCGTCAGGACTTTGTAGGCAGATATGGCCTTGGCAGCAGCACTGGCCTTGGCAAATTCACCAGCAACCTTCTTTCGAGTGTAGTATAGCGTGGCCACGGAATCACGCAAACACTGCAGAGCTTTTGATACAAGAAGTGCACATGAGAGATCATGAGAGCAAGCAGAAGTCATGCTTGTGAGACTTGTGATCAAGAGCCCTCTGAGGGTGTGGCGCCATCGGCCATGGCCACCAGCCATGTACTTTGTTTGCGTTGGATTGAGTCTTAGGCTAAATTCTGCAGCCTAAGCTTGAGATGGCGTGCTGCAACTGCATGGCATAAGAACTAGGTGTGCCCGGCGTGGCACGGTAATTGCTGCTCTTGGGTTCCACTGTGTTTACTTCCCACCCTTCCGAGCCTAACATCACAAGGCCAGGAAAAAAAGCGTGAGGCTCAGCCGAAACCCGGAATCCGACGGCTGAGCCGGACCGCACAAACGTCAGCTGTCCTTCTTTGCACCCGAAAGGCTCGGCTGCTTTGCAGCTGATGTAGGAGCTCTTCTGGGGTTATGGGCTGGGCTGGTCTCGAGGACATTGCCTCGCGGACGCTGTAGCCTGCGCGGATAAGCAGTGCTTAAGGAAAGTGCTTGCAAAGTGCTGAAGATTGGTAGGAAAAGGTTGCCAAAGCAAAAGACCTCGCCTTCTTCTTCAACGTGGCAGGTGAGGAAGCGCCTGGGAGCAGGCGGACGTTCGGAAGAAGAGGGCTGACAAGACGTCTCTAAGCCTGGGGCCCGTTTCTTGTTTCCAGCAAGAGCCCCTCAGAGCCTTTCAAGGCGCTTAACGCCTCGAAAAGCCCCCACGTTGTTGGACCCAAAGCAGCTTCATGCTTCATGGGCTTCCAGCGTTGGCATCCGGGACAACCTCCTCACACTTGAAGCCCTCATCGACAAGGGCCTGAGCATGTCATCTGTAAAAGCGCGGCTTGCAAGGCTAAGGACAAGGTCTCCAAAAGCCGCTTCACCTTGCAGACATCTTCCACAGACATTTGAGGCCTCACCAACTTGGCAGAATCCCTTGACATGAGCCACCTTATCACATAAAGACGTTCTGAGCCCAATGCGTGTCCACATCGCCTGCACCCTGGACCATGCCCCGCCACTTCTAATCTTGGGAGCTTTAAGCCTGCACTTTTGGCGCAGCCGCCTCTGATGTACCAGCAGAAGTGTACTCAACCTGGCACGCTGGCAACACTTTGGCGTGATGAATGACTCTCCAGTTAATCAACAGGCCTTCAGCGTGGCATAGGCTTGCAAGGTATTGGAAAGGTTCTGAGTGGTAAACTCGGTGATGATCTGCACCCCCTGGGCTGGACTAACTGCAAAACATCACATACAGAGCATCATTGAAACGATGCAGCTCCCATTGGCAGCCTGCAAGGAGGCAGCCGTCATTGGAGGCTCGCTCGAGGTGCTGGCAGTGGCGTTGGTCTGCACTAAGTTAGCGATGGCCTGCGGCCGCGTCATACGGATGGTAGACAAATCTCACTCAACGCGCTCTGCACATGGTGCGCTGCCTGCGGGTCCCACTCGGCAATTGTCGCCAGAGCACTGGAGGCTGTTGCCCTCAAAGCCCGTACAATTAGAACGCATGCCACAGATACCAGATGCTACATACTCTACAAATAATTGCCATTGCAGCCCAGCAGCTCAGAGAAGGCAGCACTATGATGACTCACCTGCAGAAGGCCGCTTGCACATGCCTTTGCAGCTGCCAAACCTCCTCATATCTTGACACCTTTGTGAAAGCCCACGCGCTGTTCGACAGTCCCTGCACGTTGAACCTGGAAGCCGCCCCAAAGGCCGCAAGCTCTTACGAGTCTGCTAAATCTGAAGGCCGACCTGGAGATGGACGCTAAGACTTCGGCTCCTGAGATCAGGAAAGCTGTGTTGGATAAGCCAAAGCAGGGAAGCTTCGCTTAGAGCTTGTGGCCTGCTGCATCAAGCAGCAAAATATCCCGAGCGCGAGTTGTGGCCTCAGCTCTCGACACCTGTCCTGTTGTATGGTCCGTTGCTAGGCTCCCGTGCAAATGACCAGGCAATGTTGCCCAGCTCCTGATGCCCACAAGCAGTGATCTTCGCAGCCTCGGATTTCTTCCCATTGGAGAGTGAAATGGACCAAGACCTTATGTTCCGGCCAGTTAGCCTTGCTTTGTTGCTTCTTGGGGTCCTGACAGCTGCAGCCGAAGTCGCGGTCATGGGCGGCGGGTCATCAACCAAGACTTTGGTGAATGCCCACACCTTGAGCAAAGGCACCCACCCACCACCTACAGTACAAGGGTATGAACGGACAGCAAGACATCCATTGGCACCAGAAATTGGGCTGCACCAACATGAGGCGCCCTCCAAGTTTCCAATGTTCTGTGCTCCAAGTTGAGAGATCTGGCCTGCAAAGCCAAGATTGCTTTCTTTCATCCTTTTCTCGGCTGTAAAGTGCCAGGCCTTGGCCTGCCCACGAAGCCGCACCCAGCAGACCTGAAGTCCCTCAAATTCTCACGCAAGCCTGGGCTCCACGGTCAGTCTCAGCTCCAAACGCTCACTCAGAGACTGTGGCTTGGCGAATCCCCGTGCGATGTTTGACAGGTGTTGCGCCTGCAGCGATCCACTTGCAACACAGACACAGACGGACCACCAGCTACCTGCTCTAGAGTTCATCTCCAGCATAATGTTCGAAAGGTGCGAGTGGCGAATAATGAGTGCGAGTATGAGGTAGATCAAAAAAACGGTGCGACAAAATTCTCGCATCCTTCTGGGCCAGCAGTGCATTTGCCACGCCTGCAGTTCAGCGATTTTGAGCAACATCTCAGCCTCAGGCACAAGCTCACCAGGTCAAATTTCTGCCCAAACTCAAGCTGGACCCCGCAGACAGCACGTGGCACCCGGCCACAAGAGCTTCTGATGCCGGCTAATGTCTGGCAAGCAGCCGCGCCTTGTCGCAGAAGAATTACGACTTTTGTAAGCCACGGCATCAAGGCATCAGAAGCAGCGCAGAAGCAGAGAAGCAGAGCTGGGTAGCCAATAACTATTGTCCCAGGCACAAAGGCTCACGACAAGTTCGCAGGGCCCTGCTTGTGGAAGGCCTGGGCACACTTCGTAAGACTTCTCTCAAGATCTCTCAAGAACGCACCTCTCTGGGCACTCTTTTGCTTCGCGATTCTTTCATAACTTCCTTCAAATGTGTGTCAGAGCCAGCTAACGCTTTGTAGAACAAAGTTAGTAGCCTTCAAGCGACATGCGCAACAAGTTGCTGCAGGATCACATGTTTGGCGCACACCTGGGGCATATGCTGGTGCACGAGCGAGAGCTGCGGCTGCGCCTGGGCCAACAGCTGCCCAATGTCACCAAAAGCAAGCTGAAGTGTGACGAAAGGAATACTTGGGAATTTCGCACTTGACCTAATATATCTGGCTGCAATACCCGGCGAATCCGTTAACCTCAGGGGTTAGCTGGCATCTACCAGCTGCTCATCGTAGTGCACGACCTTGGGTCACCCATTTACTTTTGCACTTTCCACTGGACCTCGGAGGCCTTGGTGACAGCCCACATGGTGGTTGATGTGGCCTTCCCGGCCATCCACTGAACACAGTCAAGCATCTCTTACGCATGCTCTGCCCCGGCCTGCTCGTCAGACTCCGCCATCTTGGCTGTTGCTTCCATGGACGAGGCCTGCAGTCAGAAAGAACCGTTCCACACCAACAAGGTCCCAGCTAAGAATCCGTCCGTACAGTAGTTGACGCAGTTTGTCAAGGAAAAAATTGCAAGGCATTGCATTTCTATAGGGTACATAAACTGTTGACCCTGGCCTATGCGCGAGCCAAGGCCCCACCCGCCCTACCCGCCCCCAGCGCCGGCATGAGCGCTAGCGAGGTCCCCGACCTATCTTGGCCTCCCCAGCTTTTTTCAGAGGCATCTAAGCCACTTTGAAGGCCTGGTATGGCCGTCTTGTAAGCGTCGCCTCTCAGGCCTCTTACAGCCATCTTGTGGGCTCCCTCTGGCCATCTTATCGGAATGCTAGGCCATCTTAATCCTTTTAGGTCATCTTGTAAGCGTCTCATGGCCATAGGCTTCTTATGGCCAGCTTATAACCTCTTATGCGAGGCCTCCTCAGGCCATCTTATAATAGGCCTCTTGTTGGCCTTCCAAGCCTCATATGCTCGTATGCTCTCTACAAACCCTCTTTGCAGCCTCTCTCTGAAAGCCTGGCTGGAGGTCCTCTAAAAAGCCTTGGCCATCCTGCCTTGCAAGCCTCTTCTGCCTCCATCTGATAAACCTCCTAGACCATCTTATAAAGAAGCCTCTCTGGCCTTGTAGGTCTCGTAAGCCCTTCTATGATATAATCCTCTTACGGCCATCTTATAAGCCCCCCAGGCCATTTCATAGGCCTCTTATCCGTCTTTTACGATCCGTATGGCATCCAAGGCCTATAGGCTGGCCTAAGAGGCCTATAACTTGGCAGTACGAGGTTTGAAAAATGACAGGGCTTGTGATATGGCCCAGGAGGTTTATAAGACGGCCATGAGAGGCCTGTAAGATGGCCATAGGCGGCCTGAAAGGCGATAAGAGGCCTAATACCTGGAAGCCCCGTGGAAGGCCTTCCGAAGCCGGCCAGAGGGCCATCTTTTAAGCCAAGCTACGCCATGTTATAGGTGTCTAATGGCCGTCTTATCGGCCTTTTCCTCTTATAAGCCTCTCAGCCATCTTAGGCATCTTAAGCCATCTTCTCCTCGTATGGTCCTCTTAGAAGCCTTTTAGGCCCCCTCACAAATTCATAAACTTCTCCTGCCTTCTACGCCTCTTACAGAGGGCGATCTCAGAGACATCTTTTGGACCCGTCTTATAGGCCTGAAAACCTCTTCGGCGCCTCATGGCATCTCATGGCCATCCTCTTGACCGTTTAGCCTCTCTTGCAGGAGAGGCCTCCTCGGCCATCTTTTTCGGCCTCTTAGAATCATCTTCTAGTCGCATCTTATCTCTTGCTGGCAGGGGTGGGGGGCAGAGGGTCCAGGTGGAGATTTCCGGCTGTTCGAGCTCGCTCGCCTGCTCGCGCCAGGTTCGGGGGCAAGCGCTGTCGCAAGCGCTGTGTGAGTGCTGGAGCCACGCAGCCACGCGTGAGTGCTCGGGCGCTGCGCGCCATGCTGCGTAGCGATCGTGCCAATGCTTGCGCGAGCGCGGGGACGGGAGGGTGCAACGCCTTGCCCAAGCCTCGCCCCGAGGAAAAGTTCATGTCTGATTACTAGAGTCTAGTTACTAGAGCTCGAGGCAGCAATGTAGCCGCCGGCCTGCACAACAGCTCCGCCAAACTGCCGCAAGGTCGCAAAGGCCTGTGCCGTGTTCGAGGGACCTCAAAACAGCGGCGGCTTAGATGTTTCTGAAAAGCATCTCTGTTACAATGTGCAGATGCGCAGGCACAGCGCCTACAGGTCTCCCCGCCTCGCGGATCAAGCTCGGAAAGTCTTTGCCTGCAGCCAAGTTCTTAAGCAGCTGCAAATCACTGCAATGTCCATCTCACCTAGCTCAGGTAGCAGCATGTCTCGCAAGGCCACTGCTTCCTAAAGCGGCGCATGGTGCCACTTCAGTTTGCCCATGGCACGTGCGGTGCCTTGGTATCCATCGCTGAGTCGTTAGCTCGCCTCTTGAATGCTTGGTTCCCCACTGGATGGGCTGTGCGGCTCAGACTGGTCCATGGCAGCAAGCGACGCCGCAGCAGTGGAGTTCAACAGCGGAAGGCCTGAAAAAAAGTTGTGGCGTCGAAGGCTCAGGGCTAGCGCACGGACCCCCCGCGTCCTGCAACCTGCAACTGCGACAATGCCCACAGCGTGTTGGATGTGTGCCGCCTCGGCTGCAAAGACTGAGATGTGCTTTTGTTTTTGAGCTTGCCAAGCTCCAGGCGGCCTCTTGAGGCTGTTGGGATCGTCCAGGGCTCGACGCACAGAGCCCAGCAGCTGCCAAAGCCTTGCATCGGCTGCATCGGCGCGGCTTCTCCCTGCCGACTCCCTGGCAAGTCGATCCAAAGCTGTCACCAAGTTCACGAAGTCCAGATCCGTGCTGCGAGCTTCAAGAAAATTGAATATCTCATCACCACTGAGCTGTGCAATTGCGCTGTTCAATTGCGCCGATCAGCTTGGACCTCTGCTGGGCGACCAACCTTTTGAGCCCTTTGCCTTTCCCTTCATGGCAGGGCGAGAGCTCACATCACAGCCATCCGAGGGTGATGAATGGGCACAAAAGTCACAAGAACCTGATTTCATGTTGGCTGGACTCAGTCCAAAACACTCCTGCAAATCCTCAATTGGCCGGCTGACAGGCAATTACCAGTAGCTACAGGCCATGCTCAACGGAAATGGGACATCTTGAGCCCCAAATAGCCAAAGTTGTGCAAGACCAGGTTCGTCAGCAATCTAAACTTACACAAGTCATTGCTGCTGCGGCTGCTGCGAGGGCCATCGGACGCGTTTCTGGGTTTCAGCAGCTGGGCGCAGCCATGCAGAAGACCCAGCTGCTCACGGAGTCCTCAGCAAGGAATGGAGAAATGTCCAGGTGAGTCCAGATTAGCTTAGACGATCTTATCAGCCGTAATGTATCAATTTGGGCAGCTTAGGTCAAACAGCCTTGTCAAATCGTGGGCTGACTACCTGAAAAAACTACCGGCGTTGTTTGGAGGACTCACTGCCGGCAGCACAGCCTTTTTCTGGCAGGTTTGGAGCACTGATCTCAGAACTGGGCAACACCTCTGGGATGGGCAGCTCCTTGAAACTGATCTGCTTCTTCTGTACAGCGGATCGCGCATGTTACGCATACATGTCTGCACCCTATTGGCGTCAGAAAACCTAGCAGACTCAACGGACAGACTTGCCAATCACAAGACCGCTTCCGGCCGGTGGCACCCGAGTCTTTACGCTTCAAACGAGGACTGCAAGTCTGTTCAGGCCAAGTGAGCCGATCTGTACCATCTGCATGCACCTGTGAAACTTGCTGTGCCTCTCTTCTTGCCAAAAGCTCAATTAAGGCATCATGCCTTTGGTAATGTTCAGCACTTCGCTCAGTACCTTGCTGAGGTGCTCCTGCGGAAGAGACTTGATGAGTCGCTTGAACTCATTCACCACTTGCTCAGCTTGCTCTGCGGGCGACTCTACAGTCTTCGGCCCTTCGTCCACTTCGTCAAGCTGCCGGGCAATCATGCTCGCATAGTTGCCCTTTCTGTGAAGTAGCTCTTCATGCGTGCCCTCCTCCACGATCTCACCATCACTCAAAACGATGATTCGATCAGCATGCTTTATGGTGCAAAGCCGGTGCGCTATGACTAGGATGGTGCAAGCACCCTGCATCTGCTGCATGAGTGAGTCCAGTGCTTGCTGAACAACTGCCTCGTTTTCTGCATCTAAGGCTGAGGTGGCCTCATCTAGGAGCAGAATGCGTGGTCGACGCACCAGGGCTCTCGCAATGCTGAGACGCTGCTTCTGACCGCCACTAAGATCCTGACCGCTCTCGCCAAGAATGGTGCCGTAACCGTCTGGCAGGCAGCGGATGAACTCCTCGGCGTTGGCAAGCGAAGCTGCTCGCTCCACGTCCTGCATGGTGTATTCTGTTGGTCGCAGACCATACGCGATGTTCTCTGTTACCGAGCAGCGGAAGAGCTGGGTGTCTTGTGAGACAACCCCAAGGTTGGCACGGTAACCGAGGAGGTGAAGGTGTTGGAGGTTTCTTCCATTCACAGAGATCTCACCCTTTGGAGGGTCGTAGAGGCGAAGGAGGAGCTTGCTGAGCGTCGACTTCCCTGAGCCGCTCTTCCCCACCACGGCCGTGGTCTTCCCCGCTTCGACTTCAAGAGAAACTCCTGCCAAAACCTTGCCAGGCCGACCCTGGTACTGGAACTCCACGTCCTTGAAGTTGATGGCTATCTTGGATTCCGGGAAAGCATCCCCTTCTTCCTCGCGAATGTCTGGCTCTAAGTCCAGAAGCTCAAAAACTCGCTGACCTGCGCTCATTGCCTTAATGGGCTCGTTCATGTTGTCGGTCAAGGAAGCGAAGGAGCCACTCAGCTGATTCCACATGTATGTGAAGGTTACGATGCTTCCGATTTCGAACTCATCCTTCAAGGCAAAGTGACCGCCGTACCAGAGGATCGTGAAACAGGCCCCCTGTTGCACAAGCGATGCCAACAAGTTGGCGCATGCTTCACCCCAAGCAACTTTCAAACCCACATCCCGGTATTTGTGCATCTGAACTTCGAACTTCTCAAGCTCAATGTCACGCGCACCAAAGATCCGAACTGTGCGAATATTTGTGAGGGCCTGCACTGCGCAGCCTTGAGCGTCACAGTTGAAAGTGTACTGCGAAGCCATGAGCTTCTGTGCCCAGCAGCTGATTTCCCTCGACAAATGCCCCACAGGAGTTAAGATGGTGAAAGCCAAAATTGTGAGGCGCCAAGAGCTCTGCAAGCAAATGCCAAAGCCGACCGCGAGCATCACGATGTTCGATGCAAAGTCGTGGATGATGATGTGCACCGGTGACGTGGCTTGACCCAGGTCCATAGTTAGTCGGGCGCACATTTGCCCAGTCATCGTGTGGTCGTAGAAAGCAATATCTTGCTTTAGCAGCGCAGCGAAAAGCTTCACGGACATCGAGGAGAAAAGGCGCGTGCTGAGACCCCGGCTAGCAATATTCAGTGCCGTTGCTGCCAACGCCTGGGCTGCCACAATGACTGCAAAAGCTGCCAGGCGATGGTCAACGTCCTGCTCCGATCCAGTGGTCAGTGCGGTGATGATGTCTCCTTGGGCCTTGGGAATGTAAGCGCTCAAGCACTGGCTGCATATTACGCTGACCGCCAACATCACGAGAGTCAAAGGCTGAACCTGTGCGGCGAGTCGACACATGTACTGTCTCACAGTGAGCTGTGTGGGCTGCTTGGGGCCCTTATCGCCCCAAAGAGCACCTGACCCTGCACCACTCTGGGCACTCTTGCGGTAGCAGAGGGAGCAGACTTGAAAGCCTCCGTGGCCCCACTGATTCGGAAGGCATTTTCGACACTGTACCACGAGAAAGCCTCCTGTCTTCTCGCCTACCTTCGCATTGCATACAGAGCACTCCACGTAGCCCTTGTTCTCAACATCTTTCCAGTACAGCGGGTGCTCGTGCAGGGACAAGTGCACGGCTTCACCGGCACATAACTCCAACACAAAGCTCTTCACAGCAATGGACTCCAACTGCATAATGAGCACAACCATGATTTTCATGAAGGCTCGCACGCGGCCCCAGAAATCAAAGGTGTCTGAAGCCACTACACAAACGGCAACCCATACAGAGCACCCGCTGATGTAGAGGAAGGACAGCAGCAAAAGCCAGCTGAAGCATTTCCGCCCCTTCTCCTCCTGCTTTAGCTGCTCTTCCGAGATTGCCGTCGGGTCGAGCAAAGGTGTTTCACGTCGGATGCCGCGGCTCACAGCACCTCTTCCCCAGGGCCACTGGCTCTTGGCGAAGCGCTTTGCCAAGAGCATGGTGAAGGCAGCAGCCAGCAAGCGACCTAGAAGAAGCAAGACATCCACACATTGACAAGAAAAGGACAAGACCAGGGTAAGGTCCAAGAGGAGCACTATTCCCGCAAGGAACGCCATGCTCTCAACGCCCAAAGTCAAAGTGTTCAGGGTTCACAGCCAAAATGGCTTCATGTTGAAGACAGGTGTCGGCGCTAGGAGCTGCCAGGGCAAAGATATGAACATGATGAGCCATCTGATGTTGTGCCAACAGTCTATCCTACTACCAGCATGCATCACAGGCCTCCTCACCTGCACGAATCCAACTTCGACACGCAGTCGGCACCATGCCATGGCGAACTGCCTGCGTGGGCAACTCTGAAAGATAGCTCAGAAAGATGCTCCAACAAGCCTTGCAACCTGACACAGACGGATCCCGTTCCCATGCAAGCCAATTTTACACACGCCCATGCATGGGCTCCGTCCGCACACCACTAAAGTCCGTTAAAGTTTGGAAACACATTCGAGTCTCGCTTCAGTCCGGGCAAGGGACCAAGAATGGTTCATAAGCTAACAGTGCCGGCAAAGCCCCAAGTCAAATCAGTTTGCGAAGGTGCAAGTCAGGTCAGCATTCTTAAAGGTCGCTTAAAATTTGCACTGCGCTTCGGAACAGCCAATTTCTGCCTCAGACCAAAATGTACTCCAGGACCTCAGGAGCACAAAGATAGAGTGCTAATGTTGGCGGATGCACATGAAGAATGCCGACACTGGCTAGCCACTAACTCCGATCTCTGCAGACTTCTTGCGGGCAAGCCACCTTCTTCGGCAGCCATCCGTCTGTCATCGTATCCGGCCTCTTTGGACTGATTCTCTCACCATAGACCCAGCCGCGCTCGGCTTCCTTGGAAACTGCAATGAGGTCGCCCTTCAACAGGCCCAAGGTGCCAGCACCCTCCTCCGGCCAATCTGCGGCCACTCTGCAAAGAGACACTCTCTTCGCCACAGCCTGTGGCACCCAACCTTCGCTTGGGGGTTCATTCGCTTGATCCCCATGCTTCACGGTCGCGGCATAGACCCAGCCATGAGCTGCTCGGTGGGACACGTTCACCAGGGTTCCCTTTTGAACGCGCAGCTGCCCTGGTTGGTCTGGTTCCCAATCATGCGTGGTGATATGGAGCAGCACTTGTGCCTGCTCGTTACTGTCTGCCGCATTGTCAGGAGGCTGAGCTGGTGAGGGACCAGGTTGAGCCGTGTGGCCCGTGTGGCTGGTATATGGTACCTGGTATGGCGATTGATATGGGCTGGAGGCGGCCTGGCTGCAAGGTGCCTGTGCTTGTGGAGGCTGTGAACCTGCAACGGACGTTTGCCCGTAACGAGATGCTCCGGACTGATCGAACTGCGTGGGCATCACTGGCTGTTGCACTGCGGGATTTGGCTGCATCATGCTGTGCTGGGCCGCATAGGGGTCGTATGAATATGGCGACTGTCCGAAAACATATGACTGGTCAGACATTGGAGGATGTCCACCTTGGTAGTACATGGATGTCTGCGGTGGGTATGAAGGCGTTTGGCCCATGCCAGCCGTGTAAGGAACTCCATTGGCATATGAGGCCATTGGATCAACTCCATGCTGGGGAATCATGCCATGACCGGGCAATCCTGCATGGAAGCCGCCAAAGCCGTGAGCTGCGTGAGCTGCACTTGCCTGTACTGAAGCGGGATGGATGATTGCAACCTGTCTGGCAACCAATCTGTTCTTACCACTCTTTTTGTGATGGTCGCGTTCCACATCGAACTCCACCACAGTGCCGGCTGTCAACTCCGCATCTTGAAACTGCTGGAGCAAAGCATCGCGATGCACGAAGAGGTCACCTGCAAACTTGTCGGAGTTCACGAAGCCCCAAGCTCCTTGGAAAGACCGAATTACGCCTTGGAGGCGTCGGCCGATCCAATCGCATGGCCTCAAGAGGGCGCTTGTGGTGATCTGTTTTGCGACAGTCCTCCCCCGGTCGTCCAGGGCAATGTCGAATTCGACCGCTTGGCCGGTTCGAAGGGGTGGCTGGCCATCCTGGATCTGGTCAGGAACCAGCAGCAGGTTGTCCCTGTGCACGAACAAGTCCCCATCAAAGGCAGCTGCATTGAGGAACCCCCATCTGTCGGCAAAGCGGCGTACATAGCCTCGGTGCCTCTGATTCAGGCAGTCGCTCGGCTTCCGTCCCACTACGGGCTTCAAAGCCACAGCGTGGGGCCTGCCTCTCTCATCTGCCTGGACATCAAATTCGACACCTTCCTCCTCTTTGAACTCATAGTTTTGGCACTCCAACATCACATTCTCGGTCTTGAAGCCGAGCTCACCTTCAAACAAATGGCTCTTGACAAAGCCTGTGCCACTGCTCATAACGTACTTGGAGATGGTGCCCTGTAACCTTTCGTGCCGCAGAGCCAGCGGATTGCTGACAGGTCCGACGGCACTGGCTGAAGCGACTTTCTCCTGGGTTCCTGCTGCTACAGACCCCACAGGCTGCGCACCGGGAGGAAGCGGGCGAGGAGGATCTTCCTTGGCATCATCGTCTACGGCTGCCATACTACCCAAAACTTGTTGAAAGCTCTAACAAAGCGCTGTCCTTGAGAGGGAGCGGGTCACGCACAGGCAATTCAAAAGCTGAAAAAGCAAATGCACTGCACCTGCTTGCCCAGACTAGCCTAGAATAGCCTAGACTTCAGACATGCGGGACACTTTGCACTTCTGGGACGGAGTTGATGTGGGCCTGCGCCATGTTGCGCGACTTCAGCATCGGGATCTTTCCGCGCATGGTTGCAGTCCACACCATATGCTGCTAACTACTTGCGCGGCTGATCTGTGTACACTGTGTGCCTGTATGCAGTGTGCAGTATCACCTCGCGAGCCAAACGGAGAGCAGCTTGGGACTTGGCTTTCGGACTGAGCTATTCCTCGCAGCCCACCGGCACCTCGGCTACAAGGAAGGGCTGCTGTCGGTACTATCGGTACTTAAGCATGGCAAGAAGAGGGACCACAAATGCTTTGACTTCGCTCTCTCTCCTGGAGCTGTCTCCTGGAGGCCTGTGGAGGCTTAGCGCATGGCATCAGGGCGGCGCTTCGTTTTGAAGCCCCGTTTTGGTATGTTTGTACAGCTCAGCCTTTACTGGGGAGGCTGTGCCAGTGCGACCAAGAGAATGTAACCTAAGGAGCCAAAGCCAACGAAGAGGAAGGTGTAGAAGGAGCAGAGGTTGTTGCTGCCAATGCACTTTCCCATCCAGGGACAGTGGTGATCGTGACCTTGCACGCACACCTGACAGAAGTAGCAGTGCTGACAGCCTCCACAGGGCGACAGTCACCCCTGCGGGGCCCAGGGGGCAGCTAAGAAGGCAGGCTTGGTTTTTAAGCTTGCTAGTTTTCACTCACACCAAAGTCCCGCCTCGGGGTTGAAAGATCTGGCATATCTCGCACCTCCGCACCCTTGTGGCCAGGGAGTCAGACAGGCTTTGGGCCTGATTCTTCTGGAGAACGCCCGGGTTTGCCAAGGCACACCTGGGGTCAATTGGAAGGTCCTCTCTATGGGCGGGGAGGGACGGAAAGGAAAGGAGTAGGGAATGATTCGTAAGAGCTTGCCTGAGGAAGCTTGCAGCCGAGAGGGTTGTCACCAGCAGTCCGCCTGCCAGCTGGCCCAGAGATGTGACCGAGGTGCAGTGGAAGAGCCCTATGGCGAGGATGAAGCCGAGCATCAGCACAGAGCAATACCAGTGAGGCCCGATATACAGCCCATGGCCTCCAAAGTTATATACGAAAATTCGCCCCAGCCAGCTGTAGCTCCAGGGCTCCGGGAAGTCTTCAAAGGGGCTGTAGGCTTCATAGGCTTCGGCTTCCGCCTCTGCATTGCTCCCACCCACTTCCAACCGCCCCGCGGTCAGCTCCGCAAGCTGAGTGCTATCTCTATCTACCGGCATTTTCAATGCAAAGCCTTTGAGCCAAGCTGGGATGCTGGACAAGTGAAAAACAATTTCCAGTTTGAAGCGGGTCTTGTGTCTTGCTGTTCAAGCCCGGGTTCCCTCAAACATGCCTGCTCTTGTTTTTGCCGACACAAATTCACCACCAGTTTATCTCAGTCTCTACATTTGTTTTTGGTTCCATGTGGCGTCTTGGGCCATCAGCCCCTAACGCGAGCCCACTGAAGCTGTCCAGTTGTATTGTTTGAGTGTCCGGCAGCCTTTGCCCGTTTGCAGACACCAAAAGGTCTCTGCTTTCAACCACTGACGCTCCTGTTTTGATCTTCTCTGCATGTGGCAAGGCGAATCTCTCAACAGCCAGGACAATGGGAAGATACCTCTATCACTGTGGATCAGAACTAAGCATAGTTTCTTGACAGTTTTGAGCCCGTGTAGCCTTCAGCTTCATCCCTGACAGGGTCCTCCCACCGCCTGATTTCGCTTCCATGGAATGGGCCATCCGTGAGGCCAGTGTAGAAGGGACTAAGCCATATATGTCTCTGTCTTTTCACTTGAAGGTGCTCTAACTTGTGGCCTTACAGATGTAAATTACACGCTGTGGAGCACCAGGCTAGTCTGGAAAGCGAAAATGTCAGTCGAAGCCGTGCCCCAGCAGGGTTTCGGCAATGCTTAGTTGAAAGCGGCAGTGAAATCCCTATAATCTAAGTCTTGGCTGCGACTACAGTACTTTGCTGGTCATTGTGGAGGTTAAAAAAAAGGGGTCTTGAAGCTCTAGAGACTTAAAACGTGGTCGGTTGGGAGTCACGGAGGCTGCAGTGCTATCAGCGCAAGCCAAGCTTGAAGCTATACCGCTATTTGCGCCGCTATGTGTTCATCGAACTCGTTAGCTATCACGAGATCTAAACTTGTGTTACTGACCTCTCCGGCAGTATCGCGAACGCTGATGCATAGCAATGCATAGCATGTCTCCCCGTTAGAGTCTGCCAGTCTGCCAGCTTCGAAATCGGTGCACCCTCTTGAGCCAGCCCTGGAAAGCTGATGGCCGAGCTTGTCATGGCTGAGCCGCACAATCTGCGAACTTTGCGAACTACTGGCGTTTCTGGACCAGCTTACTTGCAATGCTTTGCAATGCTTTGCGCAGATTGTGATGCTGCATCAAAGTTTGCATGCATTTGACAAGCTGGACGAGCATGAGCCTTTGACATAGCAACGCGCTAGTCCTGGTCTGAATAGCCATCACACTTGAAGTTACCGGACGCGGTGTCAGGTGTCAGGGGCCCACGCCCATTACATTCAGGACTCTTGGACTGAAAATGGTTTGACTCCTGAGCACGCGTCCCGTTTGATCCCCTTCGTCATCTCACTCCACGACAGGTAGTACCCACAGCACATGAACAAGTTGTGTAGAAAAACTACTTCTCTCATTGGGCGGTGCTCAGCACATCTCTGTACATGGAACGCAGACATGTCTTGAAACAGAAACAAGGCCCGCTGCCCGTCACCTAAAGAGGACTTGACCCCTGGTGCGCCCAGCGCAAACGACTTCCATCATCTTGAAGCTTTAGGGCTTTAGAACATGGAGCGAAGGAACGCCGTGGGTGGAATCCACAGGCTCGAAGCCAAGCAGACTAAACGTCACGCGTGCCAAATGCCGGCACCCGCAAATGTTAGCTCTAGATCCAGCTGTCGTGCTGGGGAAGCCTCCCAGCTTCTGCAAGAAAAAACACCTGTCACACGCGCTATTGCTTTGTGGTGCCACCTGTACGATGTAGGAAGGTATGGGAGGTCACCCTTGGTCGAAGCATGACATAGATAGAGGAGAAGCTTCTCAAAGGACCTATGCTGTTGGCTCTAGCCAGGGTCTACTCTAGCCCGTCACTCACCGCGGTCTGTCGCCGCATCCTTGGGTTAGCAGGAACACGCTTGGGTGACGTCACATGCGAAGCCAAGCGGACCCCTGAATCAAGGTAAGGCTGACCCCAATGTTTCATCCCCGAGGCTCTTCTCAGTGTTGAAAATAGCACACGAGCAACATACCATAAGCGCAACAAACTCCGCAACCAAAAACAGCACATACCAGCACTAAATTCCATGAGGCGGCGGGGCAGAGTAGAAATACTCCGCAGCCATCACTTCAATTGCTTGGTCCAAGGCGTCGTTCAGCTTTTCATAAGCTGCCTCAAGCAGAACCACTAGGAGATCACGTTTCTTTGGCAAGCAGATTAAAGATGCTGGCTGACAAGCACTAAGTTATGAAGAGCTCTCAACTGCCAATGCTTGCATACGGAAATCCACAGGGCTTTCTGAACATCCCGTCCTTCCAAGCATTGACCTGCGGAAAGGGCTGGGCAACTCCGGCAACCAGCATTTCGTCATCTAGCTCAACTTGTTTCAAGTAGACCTTGGTTCAGGATCGTTCCGGAGGCTCGTGCAGCAAAGCGGAAGATATTGCTCTGAAGAGCTTGAGCCATGCAAGATCCAGGAACACAACCTGCCGCTGAGGGACGGCAGCACGAAGGCTGTGACCTCCCCTTTGCAAGAAGTCCCCTGCAATGAAGAGTTCGCCTTCGCCATTGCACATTATGACAACTGTGTAAAACAGGGCACAGCAAGCAGCAGCCAAGGTGAGCCAAGCAAAGTGACAACAGCTTCAAACTCTCCTTGGGGCTTGCAGTCATACTTCATGTTTGATGTTGAGGCTTTTGTCTCCTGGCTTGAGAAGACATCACCAGATGTGGAACAGTGTCATGAACAGTCTGCATGTCCTTGTAGAAGTCACCGACTTCAGCAGCTGCCCAGAAATCTTGCACCTGCCAACGCTGCAGCCCGTCATGTTTTTCTCAGCTGTTCTGTTTGCCACCTGGGCTTCATCATCCAGGGCTTGTTGCAGATCTGCCTGTTCGACCTGCCACAAGCGCCAACAAGAGCCAGCAACTGCGCCATCAAGTCGGGCATGCCACTGAATCCAATCATGTATAAACCCACTTACCATTTTCCTTTTGGTACTCCATTACTGCAGTACTATCCCTATGAAGAAGTCTTTGAACAAACACAGGGACTAATGAGAAGGGGTGCAAGTCGCTAACGCTCACCATCACCAGAAGAAAGAGCAAGTGGAAGCAATGATGCTAGCAGATTATTGAAAAGAGGAGCGAGCCGTAGCCGATCTTCACCACAACCAAAGAGAAATCTAAAGAAATAAAGATAAACATCAAGAGTTCAATATTTACCGTTAAATCCTCACAGCGATTTCAATATCATGTACTGAGTAGCACTATCATGTCTTTTGTAGTTTTCAGGTTCTTGTTTAGCCTTGTTCTTGTGGTATTGTTCCCGTTCTTTCTCGTTCTTCTTCTTTATCTGGTCAGGGTCGTGTTCCTTTCTTAACTTTTGATACAGGCGATGATAAGCAGCTATCTGTTCTATGACTTGCTCCGATGTCAGAGTCTTGACAGGCTCCTGACTGGCTTTAGCTTCATTCTGTTCAGATGTCATTAAACTTATTTCTATATATTATGAATCTTTGTTCTGGAACTGTTTTTCACTTGACCCGTATTTAACAGACAACGCTTCAAGAAACATTCAAGTTTGACTGTAATGTCTTTACAACTATCACCAGAAGACTTATACGAAACAACCTCCGAACACTTGAAACAAACGAGACAGCCTGCAAGGCAAAGTGTCCAACCAAGTGCTGGCAAACATGAACAAGGCAGTTGAGTGATACAGAGAACGCACATTATCCATCTAGGACAGCAGAGAAATTACGTCATGGTATGACAGAAGGCAACGCGAAATCAAGAGAAAGCAATGAAGCAATATGCAACGGCGGTCGCATAATGTGAGGACAAAGCACCAATAACCGAAAGGACGAAAACAACTGCGAAGAAAGCGCGGAAAGGTAAGGAAGTTAAGGAAGTGGTCAGGAAACCGATAAACAACCTGCATCCAAAAAAAGCAATTGGTGCGTTATCAACGCAGGCAAAGATTGCAGGAAGAGTTGCGATGTGAAGTTCGCGCAGCTTTCTATTGTTCTGGTAGTGGGAAGTGCCAATGTCAAAGCAATGAGGTTGCTGGTGTAGCCGTTCCCCACGAACAATGGTTAGGGCTAGGGATTGTTGAGCTGGATTTGCGCTTTGGGTTGTGTTTTGGATTATTGTGTTGGTTCTGGTGGCTTACTTCGTTCCGGGATTGTGCTATGGGATTTGTTGAGGATTCTGGGAGGTGCATTGTGGGGTTGGAAGGGGTGTTTGCTCAGGGGTGTTGGAAAATGGCGTAAAAGTACAGGATGTGAGGTCTGGGGTATGTTATCTCTTGTTATATCCGCTTTAAAGGATCCCGCCTCTTGGGGATGCAAATATGTTTTAGAAAGCCCTGGCCTGGTCTGCAAAAAGTGGCCTGGTGTTGAAAATCAACCACAAGCTGCTGTTTTGGACTTCTGCGAATTCATAGCCTCAGGAGCACAAAGAAAACCACGCTTTTGGGGGATTTGAGGAGCATAAATTTGGGTCGTCCCTTTTTGTGGTCTAGCCAAGGTTCAAGGGATTTCAAATATTCATTCAAGCTCACGTCTGATTGACCCATGCAGTCAAGAAGCCAAGCATCTTGGCAAAGTCGTGGCTGCAAAGAACCACTGGGCATCTCCCTTTTGGGCGCACGAGGAACATTGGTGTTTCCAAGCCCTCTAGCGCCGGGCAGCTCAGCGTCGTCGGAGCCTGGTGCTCACGAAGCTCAGCACGAAACGCCCTCTGACATAATGTGCAAATGCGCGGTATATGCATCTAGACAGCTGCACACCCATTCCCTTCAACAAACCCAGAATTTGGTACTCCGTTCTGTACAGCTCATTCGGCCTTGGGCACCGCGGCCGAGGCGCCTTCCAGCTTTCTGAGAGAGTTCAGGGGGTAGCTCGTAAAGACCCCTCGGAATGTCGAGATTACGTAATCCCCCGTATGTATTCTATAAGGATACATTTGAGAAGCTCCGAATAGGAACAACAACGAACACGTCTAACTGTAATCTGTTGCTAGATGATTGCGCCGAAAGCATTAGAATCTTGTTATGTGCTACAACCTACCCGTAAGGTGCATATGTAATGGTCGTAATGGCATGAGTAGCAAAGTCATACATACAAAACTGATGTGTGTTGTTTGTTGCTGCAGTTGCTGTTGCTGTTGTTGCTGTTGCAGTTGCTGTCGCGGCAGCCCTTCGAGCTCAGGCGGGTAGGGTCCGGGGTAGTACAGTCCTACTTTATTCCAGGACCCTCTGTCTCACTGGACGCGATATCAACCTACCAATTTGTTTGGCGGAGCAGCGAAAGCTTAACGCCTGCTACAGCTGGGATCAAGGCTACAGCCGAGGAGCCCTCTTTACTCAAACGCAAAAGGGCTGCGGAGTCGCTTAGCGCTTTACCTTTTAGGGAGGAGCCTAGCTCAAGCCTTCAAGCTTTTTGTATATAGTATACACTACAAAGGCCGAGGGCGAGGATGCTGGTTGCAGGACTGGGAGTCTGCGGTGTGGCCCACAAAGTGCGGTGCTCGCCGCATGTTGCGGGGTGGCCGCCAAATTGGCGGCATGGACCGCAGGGTCCCTCATTATGATGTGGCCATCCCTGCCGTGTCTGCAGTGGCAGCTGGACAGTGGCATCATAACGCACTGTCACGCCGTGGTCAAGCAAATGAAGGGGGTCCTCAAAGCATCGAAGTGCGCCCAAATGCTTCTGAGCTCCTTGGTCATGGGAACTCCTGCCGGCCAGTTGTCGTTGCAGTACCGGCAGATCTGCACCTGCAGGATCTTTGCGTCAGGCACTGAGGCTAGCCCTGAACAGTTCCTGAACAAATGGGCTGTGCGCCTTGTTGGCGCATAATACATATGTCCATGATCCCTCCAAGGGATCTGTCTTGCACCCCTGTTTGTTCTTCTCATCACCTCTTGGGGTGGTGCATGTGGCGCAGCCGCTGTTGCTGGCTGGTGCGGGACAAGTTCTTGGTCAACAAGCTCGGGTTCTGGTGCCGGCGGCCTGTGGTCCCTCAGCGGAGGTACCCGCACTTGTTGTGCTGGGGGCTCTGCAGGTGGTTCCTGCTCCTCCACATTTTCTCTTGGCGGATTTTCATCCTCAAGATTTTCATCAAGAGGTTCATCCTGTTGCTCAACCTCTGGAAGTCCGCCGACCTTGGGGGGCGTGTTGGATGGTTTCAGTAGACGGAGAGGGTGAAAACTCTCAGTATACCAACGCCCCAGGCCTTTGGGCGGGGCTTGCCTGAGGGCCCGAACCCTGAGGGCCTGGGCCCCAAGCCTCTGACCCCAAACCCCAACATGTTTTAGGCAGCTGGCACCTTGCTTGTTGTATTTCCTGCGCGAGCTTGAACTAATCTTGTCAGGCAGAGGTCCAATGTTTTGGGTTTCAGGCTGGGCGCTCCCCGAGCATGCTCATCAGGGGCCACCCCAAGCTAGGCTCATGAAGGACTCTACAAAGGCAACGCAGCGTTGGTCTTGACACGGTCAACTTGCCTTGTTGCGACTTCTCCGCGCATAATTGGCGCTTGGCGGCCCAAGCCCCAGGCCCCCGAGGGCCCGGGCCTCACACCCCTGGGCAGGGTCCCAAACCCCTATTGATCAGGGTGCCCACCCGCGCCAGGCTCTCCTCAAGGATTGGACAGATCTGCAACAATAATGCAGTGTTGGTCGTGCACAGTCCCGGCAACCTGGCTTGTTGTGCTGATTGGCTTCCTACGCAGCAACTGAAAACAACAAAGCTGCTGAGTCCCGGCAGCCTAGCTTGGACTAATCTTGTTGCGCCTATTGGTCTCGTGCCAGCCGCTGAAAACCCTCAAGGTTCAGGGTTTAGGCTTTCGCGATTTTTCCGCCTCTGGGTCGGCAGACTGAGCCGGAGGCTCCCAAGTCCGGCCTGGCCGTCGTGGTCCAGTGTGGATGCACGCCTAGCTACGCTTTGTTTGTGGGGTGTGCGGCACAGACCGCCGACCCCCTCCCTTGGAAGCTTTGGAGGTGTGTTTTTGGGATCAAAAATTAAGATGATTGTTGGCTGCATTGTCAAGGCTTCCCCCCATGCTACGGAGGGTTTTGGGCATGTTTTTTTTGGGCCAGATCATCAGCACAATTGGGCCTTCAAAGGCGCTTAAACTGCGGTATAAACCCCAACAAAACGCTCAAAATACACGCTGT